TTCCAAGTCCACTAGAAGAGGATTAAATGCAATTACAGTATCCTTGTTGAGAGACTGCCACACAAAGTAATCATAGTGAGGGTAATTTATTTAGCACCCAGTATATAAGTATTACTGTATTATGCGTATGCAGTTTACTTACCTTTTATCTCCATGAACTTTGCAAGTTAGACATTCTTATCATTGTTTTACTGAAAGGAAACAAACACCTACCAGTTTAAGTAATCTGCCCAAGTTGTATAGCTAAGTCCTTCCTAAGACTCCTCAACTCTGAATCGAATGTTCTCTCTAGGAAGTCATATTTCGGTATACTTTACAGAAAGTATATAAAGTTTACCTTCAGTTCTCTTTTGAGCCCTCCTCTCCTCTTCTTCCTTATGCCTTGTATACCTACTAACCTCATGCTAACTTCTACCACTCTGAAACCCTTGTAAATCTTGCATTGTGTTCTCTCTTCCTTTTTCATATACTCGCAAGAGACTATCACATAGGACAAGTTTTGATGAACAAAACTGCAATGTTTTATTGACAACTAAGTGTTGCATGTTTTCATCTTCATGGTCTTAGAATTGAAAGCCATCTATTCATTTATTCAACAAATATTTATCTTGATCCTGATTGGCTTTATAAACGATTCAGTTCCAACACTAATGTAAAAATGAAAACTCCCATCAGTCAGGTCTCTGATTGGTCATTTCCACATGATATTTTCAATGAGTGGAGAACACATTATTATATAAAGCAGCCATTCCACTCTCAGACAGTTATTGCCTGCCAAAAAGTCCTTCCTTATGTTCCTCTGAATTTTCTCTCCATGTAACTTTTACCTTCTATGCTTTGTGCACTATAAACAATAAACCCATTCATTTTTATCATATGCTAGCTCTTTAAATGTTTTAATTTCTCCTATTTCTAAAACTCTTTCTGACAATACTACCAAAGCCACCACAGTCACCACTTAGCATCTTATACCTCTCTACTTATACCTCAGGTTTTAGAATCACTCTTAGTATATGGCACTCAGAACTGATCACATGTGACCAATATGTGACCAACTGATATTCCAGAATATTTAACACTACTTTTTCTCATTAAAAAAAATTGTGGTAAATCCAGAACTCTCTCCTTGTTGTCTATGTGTCAGTTGATGTTTTTTTAAGCCCCAGGTCTTGAATATTATAAAGGCACAATAGAATGGAGGTTAGAGGGTGAGATACAATCATTTTACAACTTGATTCTGTCATCTAAAAGATTAGCTGTCATCCTCAAATGAGTGTTGTCCATGAATAACATTGAATTTTATATCTTTATTCTGTCATATAATTTGACATAAATTGTATTAAAGGTCAAGGACAGAAATCTAAAATATCTCCTGGTTGACATGGATTTCCTAATCAATATTCTTTGGCATGCTTGCTCAACTTTCTACATATTTCCTCCTAATTTTACCAATTTTAGTCCATTTTTCTTGATAAATTTGTCTATGGAATGGACTTTAATAAACTTTTGATATTTTAAAGCAACTTTTTGACAGCTATTTTGATAAGGCCACATTTGTGCATACATTTGTAAATTGTCAACATCGTAAGACTATGTAAAGTGGCCATTTTGACTTGAGGATATGTGCCACAGTCTAAAAAAATGAAAATGTCAGTTTTTTTAATTATCAAATTTGCCAAAGTGAGAAACAGACATCTTCATAGTTCTTATCCTTGTCTCATCTTTCCCTGAACCCACCCATTACAAGCATGGAATTCAAAAAGGGGAAACAGTAATGAATTTCTCTCATTTGAATGATACTTAGTAAGCAAAACCAAACAATAAAAAAGGTATTTTAATGTTTGATATAGTTACTCTGAATTATTACATCAAAACAGCATCAGTTGTAAAAGGGGCGATGCCAAATAACTAAGGGCCTAGCTCTGCAATGCAGGCATCCTAACAGGATTATTTGGAGGTGTGTGAGGATGGAATGAATCTGAACATCTGAGCAGGAACTTTTCCCACTACCCTTGACCTAAAGGATGGGCATCTACATTTAAGAACTAGACTGACCTGAGGAAAGATTTGCCTTTATGAAGCTGATGATACACCACATCTCATCTTGTGCATGGGAGACCGATTCTATTTACAGTGGCATATAATAAGGTATTTTTTCCTAAGCTTTTCTTAAATTCTGAAGGCTTCTTCATTTCAAAGATAAACAAATGTCTAAAAAATGCATTTTAAAAACAAAGAGTTGAATGTCTACGACACCTCATACTTTTCTTAGTTCCAAGGTCACCATTAGAAATTTCTAGCAGTGGAGGGCTTAAAATCCCTAGAATCCTTTGGTTTCCACAGAAGTTGCAGAGAAAAACAAAGACCATTTGACTCACATGCTCTTCAATTGACCTCTCCATGCTAAGCCATTTTCACAGACTAGCTAGAAGAAGGCTTAGATCAGGAGGCCTGCACTGAATCAGAGGAATTCCAAAAGACCAGCCCTGAGATTGGGATTGGGCACTAACTGACCCCAAGGCCATGAGGAAGCTTGGGTAACTTCCACTCAAAAGCCCCCTCTTTACCGCACGTCTTTCATCATAGACTTGAAAGTTGTTCTCATTTCAGACAAACAGAATGGACTTCCCGAAACACACTACATGGAAACAGATGTTCTCCCTCTTCCTTCTCACCCTTAGAGGTTTAGGAGGTCAGGTCTCAAGCAGCATCCATGGGCATAAACGATAAGATTGCAAAGAACTCACTAGTGCAACAACAATGTCAAATAAATAGTACCAGCAATGGTTGGTTGGTTGCTTTAGTACACATGGTAATACAGACTGTGAGCAACTTGAGGCAAGGTCTTATGTGTTAGTCACCTCTTTGTCCCCTGTGTCTAGTACAGTGACTAGCACAAAGTAAATGCTTAGTAAATAGTTGAACAAATGAATTCCTAAGCTAATACTTTATTTTTGTATTTTATCTAATTCAGTCAATGGAAAACTATTATTTAAGCATCTATTACATACCAGATACTATACAAAGATGTGAACATGAATCCTTCCTCAGACCTTATAGTGTAATTGAAATTGATGAAGTAACTTCCACTCCCAATTACTGACACTATTATTATAACATTGAGGATAAACACTACTGCTGAGCCTCTATTTCCTCATGCACAATTTAATAGTTAAACAAAATGACCTATTCTGTAAAATTATTTAAGTTCTAAAATTAATGTAAAGGGTATGAAGCACATAAAGAATTGTGTGAATTAACGTCAGTTTTAAGATGATAAAATTATTTTTAAAAATTTGAATCATGCCCCATATGGATGTTCTCTCCAGTTCAAAAGCAACTCAATCTCTCAAATAGACACATGCACACCATTATATAAACCACATAAAGAATTCAGCAATTCTAGCATCATTGTATTTTTAAACCAGATCTCTATTTTATAATGTAACTTCCTTGAAAATGTAATATTTTGTTTGGTATCCTTAATTGGACCTAGTCTTTTTCAGAAAAAAAAAAACAAAACAATAGCACTCAATAAATGAAATAATGCAACACAAACAACTTAAGAATCACCAAGGATTTTAACCCGAATGGCATTTAGGAGATTCAAGAATCCCATGAAATTGTATGCAAAACTGTATCTGTAGGCCACTTTATAGAAATTCTTTGGTTTTATCAGAATCTCAAAGAGTTCTATTATCCAAAATGGTTTTCTTCACTCGATATATAGTAATTAAATATCAGTTACTTGTCAGGCATTGTACCGAAGCCTTCATGATGACAGAACTGAAAAGGCTTGAGTGTATAATACACCTTATATGGATATATATACACACATACATATTATCTAAGAAATCTCTAGTGAATTATGCTGCTCAAATGGCTTAAACCATATCTAATTCATCAACTATCTTACACCACAGCTGGGTTTCCATTTATTCCTAACAAAAATAATAAAGCTACTGTCCTTTAAAAACATGATGACACATAAAGAAAACTTCATACAACTGTTTTGTAAACAGTTTTATCAGGGACTTTCTGCTGACTGAAATAGTAGCTTTCAAATGCTCCAGATGGAAAACAAGAAGCATTTTTAAAATCTCAAGAAAACCTCTAAAATTTAATGATAATTTTTCTCTTTTGGAATCTCATAATCTCACCTTAATGTATTAAGCATCATCTACCTAGAATCAATCAATATTTATTTGAAAAGCTATTTAAATTTTCTGAATAACATTATTTTTATCTTTGAGAATGACTGCCATATTCTTGTCACAAACATATGAAAAAGAGTATTTCTCCAGATACAGGCATAGCGCACTTAAAAATTAAAATCCTCATCCACAGTAGATGTTCGTTTTATAATATGAAATGTTTTATGTAGCATAATCCAAAATGACTATTTCAAAAAACGGCTAGTTTATATGCATTAGGAAAATTAGGAAACCATTGCTTTTCTAATTCCTACACTCTTCCAGAACTGAGTTGCAATTAGTGATAGTTGCCAGGAGATGGCAGAGTCTCATTTCCACAGATTTAAACTTCATTGGTCTTTGTGTAATTCAAAATACTCACTTTAAAGAAAAGTGTTTTATTAATGGCATTTGTCACAAATGGCAGATATGAATGAAAAATAAGACATTCAGAAAAAATAAGGAATTCAAATTTCTCAAAGTTTTCTCATTACTATTCATTTATATATGGATAAAATATTTTTAAATACTTTGAATAACTTTGTTCTGTCCTGTGTACAAGGAACAGAAGGAAAGAACAACTTTAAAACAGAAATTATTCAAAAATACCTCAGTTTTTCAATTCTTCCTTTAGGTTAATTTTATATAATGCTGGATAGTTTTATACTTACAAATGTATTTTCCAACTATAAACTCCATTTTTCAACAAAATAAAAACAAGTATAGTTTTAAAATAGAAATTTCACAACTTATATTTTAAGAAAATTTATTAGTTGAAAATAAAAATATTTCTTGTGATGGCTTTATTCAAGGAACATATGTTTAAATGCTTCTTTCACTTAATAAATGCTAAAGAAGTGTCTTTAGATCTCAAGTTTATTACATTGCTTGTAAAAAAAAATTTTATCTTTAAGGCCTGATAATCCACTCACATATACAGTGAACACATTAACAGGTATGAGTGTGGGTATAGGTGTGGGGGTTGTATTGAATGCTTCTAGAAATACTCCAGAAAGGGAGAATAGGCAGATGTGTTATAGCTTGTCCTGATTCAGCCTGGAATACAGTCTGCTACTAGTTACGGAGTCTTTGCTGGAAAGACAGGAAGAATCCCTAATCATCCCCGAAAAGGCATAATCCAAAACTGGGCGAAAAGGCAATGCTGGTACCAACCCAGGAGTTAGGTAGGGAGACATGAAACCCGACAGCCCTCTTCCTGGAGAGGAATATGCCAGCCGTAATGGACTGATACCTAGTCTAGGGTTTAAACTGTAGAGACTTGAATCACCGCCATAAGAAGTAGACGTTGTTTGAAGAGGAGAGAAAGCTGATTTATTCCCTAGAGTTCCAAAACCAATTCCAGCTAAACTAAAATTTGAAGCTCTCTGAAAAGCTGTATTTTCCAACTCTCCTGAGCTTGCTAGGTCCCTAGTGTCTGGTTTGTGTTCCTTCCCATTTAGGACTTGTTCAATAGCCTGGACCACATCCCCTTTGCAGAACTGTAGAATGCCTTCTAGCCGGCTGCGCCTGTAACTTGGGAAAATCTTAGTAAGGATATCAAGAGGATCTCTTGGTCTTGAGGACACTGTGGGAATTCTGGCTCTGGTAGCAAGGAAGTCTTTGGCCCACTCACTTTCATTTCCTGATTCCAGATCTGAGGACGATAGGGATCTGGGACTCTCTTCACCTTCTGATCGCTCCCCAGAGTAAGGAGACCGAATGCTAGCATCCTTGTTTGAGTTTTCTGAAACAGATGACCTAACATTTTGTTTTGCAATGACACCATTAGACTTAGGAGGTGATTCCAGGGTAGGATGATGGGATTTGGAGACTGGTTCTTCTTGTCCACTCTGGCATGAGTCACATTTACTCTCTCTTTGTTCTGGGGAAAAGGAAACAAAAAGAAATCAAATAAAGAGAAAACTTCCCAGAACATACTGCCTGCTCAAAAATAATTCTGGACAAAATCATTCATTCACTCATATAGTAAATATATCTGTAATCCTTATTTAGTGCAAGAAATTTTAACGAATGAGAATTTTAGTAAGTCATTGGAAATGTGGGGAAAATGCTATTTATTATGCCATTTCAGGATCACAAAATTATATGATATATAAATGCAGTAGTTATTTAGAAATCTGAAATGACAGTCTTTGTTGCCCCCAAATTGTTAATGTAACACCAATATCTCACACCGTTTGCCCCATCTTGTCATTTTGCAGTTTTCCTAAATGTTACCCAAGTTTTGTTGTGATCCAAGTCTTTTTTCACAAGGACACCATGCAAAAAGTACTAAATAAAATGATTAAGGTTTAGATATGAAATAAAAAACCATCTTAGTATGAAAATGAATATTCTATTTAAATCACTAATGCTAAATTTCAACAACTGGTTTTTTTAATGCTTACATTTCAGGTTCCAGTTCAGTTACCTGAATGTGAGAAAATAACATAATTGCTTATTTCATTTCAAATCTAAACCAATAATGACTATTGCTGTACCAATATCAAATCATATCAGAGTCATATATTTCATTGTATGTGAGAGATGATACAGAGTTGGTATTTTTTAAAATCCTCTGTGAAATATGGACTTTCTTTTTCAACCCCTAGGAAATATCAAGAAAAGAGATTACACTCAAGTTGTTTCTAAAAGAAAATTAGAAACTGCACTACTAACCTATTGCAATCTATATGGATCTTCAAAATGTGTAATAAAAATAACACACTAGGCATTTGCTTCAAATCACAACTCCCTTTGGAATATTAAGGTAAATTTTCCAAAAATATTTTTACACAAAAATCTGATTTTCTAACTCAGCATGTTGAGCGTGTAAATATTAATAAAACAGTATCTTTAGGAAAATAGTAACAATTGATACATTCACTTAATAACTTTTATATTGGTTTATATTTCCTCTTACCCTGTAGACATATTTTACCTCTATTTCCACTTAAAAAGAGTATTGTCAAGTGGGGTACTCAGAATATTTCTGTCAAACTTTCTTCTCGACAAAGTTTATGAATGCAACCAAAAAAATATTGCCTAAAGCAGTGATTTGCAACCACAATTTGCAAAAATCCTATGGTTTTCTCAAGGAGAGGTCCTAAATTCTAAAGAAATACCTACTGTTTATTTTAAAATTAAACTAAGCATGTACAATTTAACACTGATTACGAAAATGCTATCATTGTATCAAACATATAACAAAAGACACTGCTCCTGCAAAATTACAAACTCTCTAGTATTTTAAATTTTAAATAAAACAATAAAACTTTCCTAACGAAGTCTGCCAAGTGGAGATAGATTGGCATTGGTCTGCCATTCCATTGTATATAATGTCTTATAGTCATATATATATATATATACATATATATATGTATATATATATATGTATATATATATATGGTTTTCCTTATTTTGAATATAAGCTTCTTTTGTGTAGGAAAATCTTATTCACCTCTGAATCACTGTTAGCTTTTTTATCTAATGAATGAGTGTATTAAATAGACTACCTTCCTAATAGTTAGTTCATGGATATTGTGTAAGATGAGGCAGTCAGTTTAGAAAAGTCATGAAATTACTCTTTCAAAAAAAGGGTGGTCAACTGGGGCAAAGAATAAAGTAACTGACTCTATAAAAGAGAACACTTTGGTACCCCTCCCAAGGAAAATACATAAATCAATGTTTAGCAGAAAGCTGTCAGCCAAATCTCACTGTCAATTTCTTTCACAGAATTTTAACTTTTACTTCTCTTTTATAGTTTTGTTTAATAACTGTGCTCTTCAGTTCTCTTTGACTTTTCATGAGAAATATTTAAAGTCTATTTGATCTACTGAAATAAACTAGAACATAGGCCAAAAAAAGGCATAGGTGAACACAAAATCATATATGCCTTATTTAAATATAGAGATAATCTTTTTTCAAGAGGACACCCTATGATCTAAGATCTGCAATTCTCACAATCCAGGGACATTTTCTAATTAATGACTTACTCTATCATTATCGTATAATTTTATATGATACAATCTGTCTTGGATTTTTACAAAACTACTGAACTGACATTTTCACTGCTATTTGGGCCCTGTGGAGGACTATAAAATTCACTAAAATACAGGAGAATTTACATTAGCAGGAAAAGTTAATTTGAACCCTAGTCAAATATGTGTGTGTGTTTGTGTGTGTGTGTGTGTGTGTGTGTGTACTTTTTACCTAACAAGAAGTATGAAAATGACTTGTAGTCAATAAATAAGAAAAACATTAAAACTCTTTGCATAAGAAATTCCTAATATTTGACTTTGAAATTCTTACTATTGGTTTTACAAATCTGGAAAACTTAATATTTTTTTCCTATGGGAAGCGCTAAAGCTTCAAATAGCGCAATCTACACTTTAGGAGGCTGACAAATGGGGTTTTGGCGATGGAATGCTTAAAAATTTGAAGAGAAAGGGGTGAAAGAGGCTTTGGTACATTTCAATCTCTTCCCCACTTCTAGCTGGCTCCAAAGATTTGCCCCAGTGGTAAAAAACTGTACTCTCAACTATCAGTGAGCTCTCACACAGATCAGAAGACTATGGTTTTATAGCTAAAAAGAGTACACAGCAATCTCAGAATGCAGCACCTCTCACTCAGCTTTTCATCCAATGACAGCTTGAAGTTGTACTCACACAGTCATAGGAACTTGGGCGCAAACTCCATTCCTAGCATGAGTTGCTCATTTGATCAGTCACCCTTCACTTTTTCATTATCTTATCCTATCACTTAAAGGAACAGACAGCTTTTCCAAAGTGAAGGTGATGGGTCTCTAACACTCTCATTAATGTCATGTTGCAGAGCAGTTTCCCAGAATATAAACAAGTGCGTTTAAAGAACTTTTCTTGACCGCCTCCAGGCCATGGCTGCTTGTTTCAAAAAAATTTTTCTCAAGAGCAATCATTTTTATTTTGCAAAGAGGAAATAAAAGACCAACTCACCTTGCTTTTCCTCCGTATAATCTGGCTGGAAAACCTCAAAGGCAGGGGTCGCCAGGCCACTAGCCTGTCTCAAGGCATCCAGTCCTACTGCAGTCACTGCCGCAGGGACGCTCGCCGCCAGGGTGTTTTCCGTTCCGCTGCTGCCTCCAGAGGTCCGAAGCCCGGGCCCCGAGGGTCCAGAGTACAAGAGCCTCTGCAGCCCCCGGGCCTCGCTCTCCTCCTGGGCCTGCTGCCTGCGCAGCGCCACCTGGGCAGCCATGACGCGCTGGCGCTCGGCGATCAGGGTGCACTTGGCACAAGCGCAGTCCCGCCAGCGGCAGAAGCGCTTGTGCCCCTTGAGCGCTGACACGACGCCGTGGTTGCGACAACGGGCGCACTTAGGCATCCGCGGGTAGCCACAGCCCACCGTGCCCACCCCCCTCTCCAGCCCGGGAGCCGAAGGGCAGCCTCCGCTTCCAGCGGTGGAGGCAGCAGCGGCCGCGGCGGCCCGCAGAAAGAGGCTGGGCGGCCGCAAGAAAGTTGGAGGAACAGGTATCCCCGGGGGTACCGGCAACACCGGACTCGCAGATGGAGGGGCCGCCACCAGCCCCGGGGCCAGGTGAGGTCGGCAGCTACCGCTGCGGTCTCTGCCGCTACACTGTGACTGCTCCATTCCCGAGAAGGGTCTGCCAAGGGGGTGGCAGCAACAAGAAGTTGCGCTGTCCAGTTAACCCTGCTGGGGTGCGGGGGGCAAAAGGACCGGCCGTGGTCCCGCTGCCTCCCACCCACACGGACAAAGTTTGACACAATTCCCGCAGTGAGCTGGAGACTCTAAGGGGTGCAGATGCTCAGTGAGCTTCTTAAGAGTCCCGGGGCGCCCCTGTGCTCCGCACGCCTTCTGAGCCTAAGGCGAGGCTGGAGAGGCTACCCCGCCCACCGGGTCTACTGGCCAAGCGTGGAAGGCAGGGAGAGGGGGGGCCGGGGGCGGAGAGTGGGGACCGTCTGGGAGAAGGGGCAATGGGAGACACAGAAACTGTGCTGATGGGTTGCAAAAGTCCCTTCCCCCAAAGAAGCCCTTGTCTCACACTTCTTCCTCATGAATTCCTCAATGCATATTTTTGTAAAATAATCTTCACGCCCTCTCCCATGCCTCTACTGCCCTTCTTAGATTAAGGGAGTTTCTAAATTCTCCTTTTTCCAGTTCCACGTTTCTCCTAAGCAAGTTTGAAGATTTGGATGTGGAGTTCTCCTTTTCTTTCCTTTTCCCAGATGAAGTCTTCAGGATGGTAGCGTGGCCAATGTTAATAAGAAAGTACAGCTTGACAGGCTACAAATGTTTGCCTGATTTTAAATGGGAATTATTTTAAATGGGCCTTAGGGCTGTGTCAATACAATGGATAAATAATGAAGGGTAACTGATTCACATTCAGATTCTTCTCGTGTATTCTGTTTATTTACACATGCAAATGTGGATTCTATGTATTATTATATTTTGAAATGCTACCGCCCAAAGAAGTCTTTATGAATTTCTTATTTGGAACTATTTATAGGCAGCAATTGTGTTAATGCTGTTTCAAAAATACTTTACATTTCTGTTGTATTGGAGAAGGTTGTTTAAGCCATTCTTTAAATATGCTATCATAAAATGTATTTTTGAAATATGCATTTAAAGCCTTTAATTGTAAGAAGAGATCACATTGTTTTAAACCAAAAGTGCATTTGAGGCAAAACATTCATGAGTGTTTGTTCTTCATGAGAAGGAAAGTTAGGACTTTGTCATTCATTCAACTGCCTTGACAATTCATATTCGTGCGCTAAGATGGAAAGTAATAATGACATTTTTACCCTTCCGCCTATTGATGTCCAGTGTCCAGAGCAGACACTGCTAATCAATTCGGGCGTTCTCCTGCCTGCCCTCTTCATGCCATCACTCCCATCACCATCCTCCCATATCCACATCCTGATATCTTGTCATAGAGATTTTCCACCCTTCCTAAGCATCGGAACTACCTAGGGAAATTTTAGAAGATACAGACACTCCAATTTAAGTATTCTGATTCTTTTGGTCTGAATTTTTAAACTTTCAAGGTGATGATTATATACAATCAAGGTTTAGAGCTATCACTCTAGGAATTCCTAACCTCTGCAGATTCTATAACATCTGAATATAGTATATTCTCTGTATCTTTGCTCAAGCCACTCCTGCCTAAAATCTTATTATTCCTTAACTGTAGAACTCACATTCAATGTATGAGAAATTAGTTGTTAGTGTACATGGATCATTAAAATATAATAAATTACCTAGTGAGAAAACAGTTTCTTTTTTCTAATAGTTTTAAGATCTGGTTACATATAGGAAAATAAGAAGCTCGATGTAAGTATGTCTTTAGAATTTAAGACTTGTTAATTATGTTTTTTAACAAAAAAAAAATTAAAAGAGCCTCAGCAAGTAACAGTTTTTACTTGGAATTTAACACAATTTTTCTATTTGTATTTGATTATCAAAGTTATCTTCCAGTTATGGCAAGTGATACTGGTTTTCATCCAAGGAAGTGAAAATAATTTTAAGTAAATATATTTTTAAATGTGTATCTATTTAAATGAAAAAATGATGAAATGTGTGAAAAACTAAAAACAAATAAACTTTGCTGACAAAAAATAAAGATCTAAATAAATGAAGAGATGAATCATGTTCGTGGGTCTGAAGACAACACTGTTAAGAACATAATTCTACCTAAATTGATCTGTAGATCAATTCAATCTCAATCAAAATTCCAACCGACTTTTTTGGTATAAATTGTCAAACCCATTCTAAAATTCATGTGGAAATTCAAAGAAAGGAACTAGAACAGTCAAAACTTCTTTGAAAAAGGATAAAGTTGCAGCGACCAGTTAGCTCAGTTGGCTAAAGCATGGTGCTGCTAACACTAAAGTTCCCAGTTCGATCCCCACATGCGCCACTGGGAGCTGCACCTTCCTTTAAAGGGTGAACTATGCCATTGTAGCATGAAAACAATGTGTAACCAATGACTGACTGTTCCCCAATAAAACTTTTAAAAAAAAGAAGAAGAAGAAAAAGGATAAAGTTGCAAGGCTAATAATATCTTATTTTGAGAATTATTACAAAATTACATTAATTAAAACAGTGTAGTGCTGGTGAAAAGACAGAAAAATCAACCAATGTGACAGAACTGAGAGTTTAAAACTAGACTCACCTATAAATAGACAACTAATTTTAGTCAAAGGTGCAAAGACAATTCAGCCATGAAAGGAAATTGTTTTCCCAATAATTTTTTGTGGAACATTGGACATCTCCATACCAAAAAAAAAAAAATTAACTTTGATCCATACCTCACACAGCTTATAAAAATGGACTCAAAATGGATCACAAAACTAAATGTAAGTCATAAAACCATATAACATAGAATACCTTTGTGATCTTGAGTTACGCAAATACTGGGGGTGCCAAAAAAATGTATGCACATGGCTTGTATTCATCTTTTGTTATCGGTATATATTGAGTATTACAATTTTAATATAGTTTTTCCCATTCTTAAACTGTGTATACTATTTTTGGCATCCTCTGTAATTCTTAGATACAACAAACAAAAGTGCGATCCACAAAAGGAACAAATTGATAAATTGTACTTCGTCAATATTAAATACTTCTTCAAAAGACACTGTTCAGAGACTGAAAAGTCATACCACTGACTGAGATAAAATAACTGCAATACATATAACTGATAAAGGACTTGTATATATAATATATAATTTCAAAACTCAATAAAAAACAGAAAAACAGTTTTTAAATGAGCAAAAGAGTTGAACAAGCATGTCACCAGAAAAGATATAGAAGGCAAATAAGCACAAGAAAAGATGCTAACCATCATTAGTCACTAGGGAAATACTAAATAAACCTACCATGAAATACCACTACACATCTAACAGAGTGGCTAAAATTTAAAAGATTTACCATACCAAGCATCAGTGAGAATGTGGAGCAGCTAGGGCTAATATACTGCTGGTGGAAATGTAAAATAGTACAACCATTTTGGAAACCATTTGACAGTTTCTTAAAAAGTTAAACATATGTGTACCATATGATCCAGCCATTCCACCCCTAGGTGCCAACCTAAAAAAATAAAGCAAATGTGCATACAAAGACACAAAATTTCATAGCTTTATTCATATAGTTTGGGAAAAACTCAAACGTCCATGAGCAGTTGGTATAACCATATAATGGAATATTACTTAGCAACAAAAAAGTACATTGATATATGCTACAACATGAATGAAGCTAAAAATACTTATTCTGAAAGAAACAAAGCAAAAATGAGTATGTACTGTATGATATCATTTATATAAAATCTTAGAAATCCATAGTGACAGCACATCAGTGTTTCCTGGGAACAGGTTGTGGAGGGACAGTGAAAGATGGACAGGAGGATTACAAAGGATCAAAAGAAAACTTTTGGAGATGGTGAATATGTTAATTATTTTAATAGTGATAATGATTTTACTTGTATATACATATGTCAAAATTAATCAAATTATGTAGTGCAGTTTATTGTATGTTAATTACTCTGATAAAACTGTTATAAGAAAAATAAACCCCTTGTTACCTCTGGAAGAAGACAGAATAACATCAAAACATTTTGGGCAAAGATAAACCAAATCTTAGTACCCAAAGCTGGAGCAATGTTTCTAAACACTGGTATTTCTTCTCAAATACATTGAAAAGGCTGAAACTGTTCTCTTGTCAAAATAATACTACATGTTCTCTCTTTTTCTTGAATTCTGTATACTTTTTTCCCCCTTTTACTCCATCTATCAACATGTGAGCACTGTAACTGCTCATATAAGTCACTGAGAAGATGTTGACAGCTGCAATTTAGCAGTAGCAAAACTTTCATCAAATGAAAAGGTGATGAAAAAGAAGAAACATGTTTTTAATTTAACTGTGCGCAAGTATCACAAATATGCAATTTACAAATTCATTCTAACTGAAGTTAAAAAAAAGGGCAAATCAGAAGGAAGGAAAGGAAAGTTGATAAACAGAATTTCTCCCAAGCTCAAAAACATCTCTGTACCTCCTTGTAAAATTGATATTTATTTCTACCTCAATTCCTTGTCCACCCTAAACTCTTTAATCAACTGCCATTTTCTGTTTGTTCACCATACCAGCAACTCAGCATAGAGGAGAAGTGTAAATTAGCAATCATAAATATAGGCCTGGCTTCAATCGTAGCTAAGCTATTAGATCTTGGGCAAAACAACTTCTCAGCTTCACTTTTCCCATTGGCAACTGAAAACATTAAGTCATCTCCAAGGATACTTCCAAGACTGTGATCCATTTCTTTTGCCAAGTCTAGTCTGAAGTTATTTTTCATTAATGTTCTCAATCTCTACAGAACCTCAGTACTACCTCCAAGGCCTCAGCCAAAGTACCTCTCTTGCTGGTAGGCTATCCAGGCTAACCTGCTAATAAAGGAAATTTAAAATGTAAATACTTAGCTTGGCTGGAAGTGTTTGGCAAGAGGACTGGGGATTTGAAAGGAAAAGTCCTAAACTGCCTATTCTTTCATGTATGGACATGTACAATTCACTCCATGGCTTCAGAATATATGTGAGCACACCTTTTATACTCCATCTACTTACTCCAAGGGTTCCCAG